AATTATATCTTAATCTAGTTTCTTTGTTTACCAATTCTTATTGAAACTGGACCAAAACTGTAAGAGGAACAGCAATTTTAAAAATTGTTTACAGACAGACAGATGCATGGACAGCTAGACAGATGGACAGACAGAAAGACAGCTAGACAGATGGACAGACAGACAGACATCTGACCAGTAGAGCTAGAAAGAACTTCATAACTATAATCTGAAAAATAATACATTTACTTCTTTTATTTTCTTTGTTAAATGGTGTAAAAAGCATGAAATCATCAAAATTAGACAAACAGAGTTGTCCTATTCTATGAAACAAATTAATGCACTACCCAACTGTTGGTAACATCTAAAACAATGCTGTAAGATACATAAAAACATAAAACCTTAATGATTAAAACATGGAAATTCAATGTACAGCTTTTGGTTGTCTCTTGAAATGAAATCTGTGGGTGATTGTTAAAGATAGGCCTATACAAGGAAATATCTTACGAATATCACAGAAAATTTAAATCAATCCTGACAAGGAATATAATATTTTAATTCCAGAGAGTATTGGGTTTTTTTTCAGTTCTACCCCACATAGCTGTATTTGATTCGTTGTATTTGATTTTTAATTGACCTGTTAATGCCCTAAACCCAAATGTACATGTATCTTCCCTTAATACAATACAAATGTATGGCACATTCATTGAAAATTCTCTAAACATTTTGCTAAACCCTCAACAAAACAGATCCCTGGGTTATTCTAAACACTGCCTGATTATCAGTCAACTTGCTAAAGGTCCAACTTATAAACCTTAACTTTACAAATTTTCGTTAGCTTGTAAGCAGAGAATTAAAGATATAAGATGTAATCTATAGAACATAATTTGTCTGTACAGTAATAAACGAGTACAAAAAAAATCAGGATACTGAATGGGATAACTGAATGAGAAATTGATAAACAAATGTCAAATGATTCTTAATTACTATCATTGATAAACAGATTTGTTATAACATTGAGTTACCCACTCTAGGGAGCACCAATATTCAATTACAATCATTGATAAACAGATTTAATTTGTTGAAACATTGAGTTACTCTAGGGAGCACCAATATTCAATGCTATCTGAACAAAAATAGCACCTGGTTATAAAACTTGGCAAAAAAAGACCATCATCATACGAACTTGATCAAAACATTTAAATGAAACTTAGTTCAGCATAAGGAGAATTAAGTAAATCTCAGTTAATTCTTTTTTTATCTTTAAAAAATAAAGAAGAATGATCAAACAAAATATTAAATAAAAAAAAAAACAGACAACATAAAATAATGATAAACAAGCCAATAAATGTTCAGATAATACTGTAAATTAAATGAACTGAAAAAAAAAGCAATAGTAAACATTTACATGTACAGTCAATCCCATCATAGCAACCACCTGTATATAGCAACTTCCTGTATATAGCAACTTCCTGAAAATTCCTCCTGAAGGTGTTTGCAAAATCATACTCATCAATGAAATATTTCAGTGTTAGATTTGGTATCAAATAAATATGTATTAAAATAATAAACATATTTTAAGTACTATAGCTAAACTTTGAAATGGTTTCCACAAAAAGTGTATAAAATGTGTGTTCTTTTATGCTTTAAAAAGCTTTCATTCTCTGCCTGATTATTGTAGTTTTTCCTTTTTTCTCTTTTGGAAATAATCTCATCAGGAGTTTATTAACAAAAACAAATCTGTTTTGGATTTTATTTCGAAAATTAAAATTTACACAACACAATAAGGCCATTCCAAGTTTTTTTTTCCTATGTTTATTGTTCACGTTTCAATAAAGAACCTACCCTATCAATTCAAACAAAAAACACACATTTTAAAGTCTTAAAAACATTATCATCTAAAGAATTTGATTTCATGATTCATTTTTTCTCTAAAAGATAAATTCCTTAAAGTTTGCAAAATCAATATAGAAAATGGTATGTTTCTTTATGTTTTGATGGATTTCTGACAATTACTGAAAACAATTGTGTTTTAGCTGACCAAATCAATCAATTTCTGGACTGCTGATTTTGTTTTTTGTTTTGATCTGGGGTCTCAAAAACCAAGGCATACGTGGACGTAAATCATTTTAAAAAATTTAATGGCCTTAGGAATAAGACAGTACATACATATATGATCAAATATTTAATGAATAAATTTTATTATCAAAAGAAGTAACAAGAGGCCCATGGGCCACATCGCTCACCTGAGTAACTTTGGCCATGCTGTTCTTTACCAGATTTCCCCCTTTTATAATATACCTATTGTGGCCCCGCCCTACCACCGGGGGTCAAAATTTGAACAATTTAGAATCTACACTACCTCAGGATGCATCCAAATATGTCTCAGCTTTATTGGTCCAGTGGTTCTTGAAAAGAAGATTTTTAAAGATTTTTCTTTAAGTTATATATTTCAATGTAAAACTTGGATTCCCTATTGTGTCCCGCCCTACCTTCCGGGGTCAAGATTTGAACAATTTAGAATCTACACTACCCCAGGATGCTTCCATATAAGTTTCAGCTTTTCTGGCCCAGTGGTTCTTGAGAAGAAGATTTTTTAAAGATTTTTCCTATATATTTCAATGTAAAACTTGGATTCCCTATTGTGGCCCCGTCCTACCCCAAGGGGTCATGATTTGTACAATTTAGAATCTACACTACCCAAGGATGCTTCCATATAAGTTTCAGCTTTTCTGGCCCAGTGGTTCTTGAGAAGAAGATTTTTAAAGATTTTTCCTATATATTTCAATGTAAAACTTGGATTCCCTACTGTGGCCCTGCCCTACCCCCGGGGGTCATGATTTGAGCAGTTTAGAATCTACACTACCCCAGGATGCTTTCATATAAGTTTCAGTTTTTCTGGCCCAGTGGTTCTTGAGAAGAAGATTTTTAAAGATTTTTCCTATATATTTCAATGTAAAACTTGGATTCCCTACTGTGGCCCCGCCCTACCCCCGGGGATCATGATTTGAACAATTTAGATTCTACACTACCCCAGGATGCTTCCATATAAGTTTCAGTGTTTCTGGCCCAGTGGTTCTTGAGAAGAAGATTTTTTAAGATTTTTCCTATATATTTCAATGTAAAACTTGGATTCCCTATTGTGGCCCCGCCCTACCCCCAGGGGTCATGATTTGAACAATTTAGAATCTACACTATCCCAGGATGCTTCCATATAAGTTTCAGTATTTCTGGCCCAGTGGTTCTTGAGAAGAAGATTTGTAAAGATTTTTCCTATATATTTCAATGTAAAACTTGGATTCCCTATTGTGGCCCCGCCCTACCCCCGGGGATCATGATTTGAACAATTTAGATTCTACACTACCCCAGGATGCTTTATATAAGTTTTAGTGTCTCTGGCCCAGTGGTTCTTGAGAAGAAGATTATTAAAGATTTTTCCTATATATTTCAATGTAAAACTTGGATTCCCTATTGTGGCCCTGCCCTACCCCCGGGGGTCATGATTTGAAGAATTTAGAATCTACACTACCCCAGGATGCTTCCATATAAGTTTCAGCTTTTCTGGCCTTGTGGTTCTTGAGAAGAAGATTTTTAAAGATTTTTCTTATGTATTTCAATGTAAAACTTGGATTCCCTATTGTGGCCCCGCCCTACCCCCGGGGGTCATGATTTGAACAATTTAGAATCTACACTACCCCAGGATGCTTTCATATAAGTTTCAGTGTTTCTGGCCCAGTGGTTCTTGAGAAGAAGATTTTTAAAGATTTTTCTTATGTATTTCAATGTAAAACTTGGATTCCCTATTGTGGCCCCGCCCTACCCCCGGGGGTCATGATTTTAACAATTTAGAATCTACACTACCCCAGGATGCTTCCATATAAGTTTCAGTATTTCTGGCCCAGTGGTTCTTGAGAAGAAGATTTTTTAATGATCCCACCCTATTTTTGTCTTTTCTTGATTATCTCCCCTTGTAAGGGGACTTGGCCCTTTATTTTAACAATTTACACTCCCCTTCACCCAAGGATACTTTGTACCAAGTTTGGTTAAAATTGGTCCAGTGGTTCTTGAGAAGAAGATGAAAATGTGAAAAGTTTACAGACGGACGGACAGACGGACGGACGGACGGACGGACAGACGGACAGACGGACGGACGACGGACAATGGGTGATCAGAAAAGCTCACTTGAGCTTTCAGCTCAGGTGAGCTAAAAATGATTCACAATTATGATGAAGAACAGAGAATATGAAAATAAGTCCTTTTTCTTCTCAATCTATTAACATTTATGCATGTATTTACATGTATTTATCAAAAATTGCTAGATCTGAATATGATTCCCTGCTTTAATAGACTACCTGTCATATGTAACCATTTTAGAATTTCCCTTCATTGATGACTTAAGGGTCCTCCACACACCCCCAGCTTATTTTCTCATATTACTGAGCATTACTTTTAACAAGCATATCAACCTTCAAAATCTGGCCGAGAATTGAAATATAATTTATACTGATTTTTTAAAAATTTAATGTCATAAGTTTTAAGAATTTTTCCTTACAGTGTTTTGATAAGTAGCAAAACAAATTTTGGGGTTTTTTTTCTGGCTTATATAATTAAGGTCAGAAAAGAACCACAAAAACTTAAATTTATCAGTCAACATATTTTATAAAGAAATTAATAAAAGTTATAAATTAAAATAAATATAACTCATTTTCTCTAAGATACATGGAGAAAAAATTAGGGAACAGTCCTGATAGTATTGAAGAAACATCAATGAATTAAATTACAACAAAAAATTGAATTAAAATCAAACTTATAGAAAGATTATTTACAAAATCTTTGGTTTCAAAGTTCCTTTTTAGAGTTATCTTTTCTATTACCCAGGACTCAAAAACTTTGGTAAGTCTCCACATACCTCATCTTTGGTCACGCCGTGATCATGCCACATTCATTGTTTATGATTAGGGTGTCGCTCTCAGTTTACTGCATAATTTTCCTTTAACAAAATCATATCTCTGAAGCGTTGATAAGACTCTCTTACAGATGGTGCCAGAGAAATGTCAGTGCACAATTTATATAAAACTGAAAGTATTTTTTTCCCTATATACTTCACAGGTCATGGGGTGAGGAGGACCCTTAATACAGGTTTGACTGCTGTACTTACATGAAGCATGTAGAATATTCTTTTTTTGTCAGACACAAACTAATTCCTCTCAATATGAGAAAACTTCTCTTTCTTCATCAACACAAAGCATTCAATTTACACACTCATACTGAAAGTACCTCCTGAATATGAAACGTAAGGAGGCTGCTTGAAATGAAATATTAAAGACAATTTGGCACCATTTGAACTTGATCACAGAAAAAAGATGATTAAAAATGACTGTCCAAATCCTGGGACTGTGGAGCACCCTTGACTTTGGTTCAACTTCATTAAATAAACTAGAACATCATATATCTACAAACATATTAAATTAAAATAAGTAAATCAGAGACCATTATGTGACCTAACCCATATCATTGTTATTTCTCTCCTAAAAGCAAGCTAGGGTTGTGGCCCTGCTTCTTGGATGTTTTCAGCTACAGGGATTGAGAATGAGGAGCTAGGAATGACGTCCTCGTCGAGATCCTCGAGGTCAGCGTTAGGTCGACTCCGCCTCCTGAGTTCCGTCATCGTGTGAATGGTCTGCTCACGACTCTCCTGCTCCTCCTCCAACCAACTCTGTCAACGATAAAGAGGATAAACAAATAAACAACTCTGTCAATGATAAATAAGATAAACAAATAATCAACTCTGTCAACAATAAATTACATAAACAAATAAACGACTTTGTCAATGATAAATAAGATAAACAAATAAACAACTCTGTCAATGATAAATAAGATAAACAAATAAACACCTCTGTCAATGATAAATTAGATAAAAAAAAATAAACAACTCTGTCAACGATAATAAACAACAAACAAGAGGCCCAAGGGCCTTAACGGTCACCTGAGTACAACAATTTAGAGGATCCATAAACTAGCAAGAAATAGCAAGAAAAATAGTACGTTTAGATCAACAAAATAATTGGTCTAGTATCTTTCTATCTGTCCCCCATTTATCACTGTTACCATCTAAAAAGATAAGTTATTTTTGTTTCATTTTTATTCATCTATAATTTCCAAGTCTACCTGATTATTAAAACTATGAAAATACTTTTTGTATTATACAATAAATGTTCTTGCATAATTCTCTTATTCTATTAACCTTTCAAATACATTATCTACAGTGATTAATTATCAAAGGTGAAAGGCAAAGGGGAATAACTTCACTCAGTAGAATACAAATTGATAGAGCCCTGGCCAGGACCAGAACACTTGACTAAATGGTCCAGATGTTCAAAATTCTGGTAAAAATACCCTTGCTTATTAAACTTTTACTCTGTTTGCTTCCAATATGTCCAAGAGCAAAGGAGATTTTCGAAGAAATAATGCATTTTCACTATTTAACACAGCCCTACCATAACACCACAACCCATGACCTAGGGTCATGAAAATTTACAAATTTGGAAGAGGTACCCTCATCATCATAACTATGCAATTAGTTGAAGATTTTCAAAGAATTCACACATTTTCATTATATAATCGAATAGATTTTGGAAGAGGCAGCCATGCTCATAACTATGTACTTAGTTAATTTCATACCCAGGAGTAGAGAAGAAGATTTTCAAGATTTAATGCATTTTCACTGTATAATCAATAGAGCCCCACCCTAACACCAGAACCACTCACCCAGGGGCCATGAAATTCATAATTTTGGAAGAGGCAGCCATGCTCATAATAACTATGTACTTAGTTAGTTTATTTAATACCCATGAGCAGAGAAGAAGATTTTCAAGGAAATAATGCAATTTCTCTATATAATCAATAGAGCCCCACCCTAACACCAGAACCCCTGACCCAGGGGCCATGAAATTCACAATTTTGGAAGAGGCAGCCATTCTCATTATAACTATGTAGTTAGTTAGTTTATTTCATACCCATGAGCAGAGAAGAAGATTTTCAAAGATTTAATGCATTTTCACTTTTAATCAATAGAGCCCCATCCTAACACCAGAAACCCTGACCCTGGGGCCATGAAATTCACAATTTTGGTAGAGGCACTCTTGCTCATCATAACTATGTACTTAGTTAGTTTATTTCATGCCCAGAAGCACAGAAGACGATTTTCAAAGATTTAATGCATTTTCACTTTTTAATCAATAGAGCCCCATCCTAACACCAGAAACCCTGACCCTGGGGCCATGAAATTCACAATTTTGGTAGAGGCACTCTTGCTCATCATAACTATGTACTTAGTTAGTTTATTTCATGCCCAGGAGCAGAGAAGACGATTTTCAAAGATTTAATGCATTTTCACTATATAATCAATAAAGCCCTGCCCTAACACCAGAACCCCTGACCCAGGGGCCATGAAATTCAAAATTTTGGAAGAGGCAGTCTTGCTCAACATAACTATGTACTTAGGTAGTTTATTAAATACCCAGAAGCAGAGAAGAAGATTTTCAAAGAAATAATGCACTTTCACTATATGATGTATACAGCCCCACCCAAGCACCACAACCTCTGACCCTGGGGCCATGAATTTCACAATTTTGGTAGAGGGCTCAATCCTTATTACAATCATGCCAACAGTTTGACTGCTTGATGTCCAGGAGTAAAGAAGATTTTTAAAGATTGCATTAATTTTGGTGGTTTTAGCCCCACCCCTCAGGCACCAGGGGGGCAGGGAGCATGAAATTCGAAATTTTTGTTCCCCTTCACCATTAGGTGCTATATGCCAAAATTGGTTGAAATTGGTTGAGAGGTTTCAGAGAAGAAGCTAAAAGTGTTCAAATGTTAACACACGACGCACAACAAACGACGAACGCCGACGGACAAAAACGGATAGCAATAGTACGTCACCTGAGTGACTCAGGTGACCTAAAAACAAACAATATAGATATATGGATCTAGAATATATAGAATTTAATTCATGAGTGGGACAGGATTTTTTTATATTTTCACGAGTGCGAAGCAAGAGAGAAAATATCAAAAAATCCTGTCTCACCAGTGAAATAAATTCTATATCCAACTACAAAACATTGAATTTTCTGTTTATTACATTTTCTTTGATTTTCTCTTTGCCTGTGTCTTTTCTTAACACAGTGTCATAGGCTGTGATGTCATAAAGAGTAAAGAAAGATTCAATAAAGAAATCAAAGTATTTCACTGTTAAAAATGAAATAAAATTATTTATAACATGTTTATGACTAAAGCAAAGTTTAATTTTCAGGAACTTTTGGGAAAAAATTGTTTGAGAGATACTTCTCAAGTAATAGTGCTGTTTAAAGATTTTTAATCAAACTGACCTTGACCTCATCCCCATACATCCTGAGACTAAAGTCTTCTTTGTTCCTGTGTCTTTCTCCCTTGTACAGGTAGGGGGTCTGGAAAAACAAATTCAGAAAAAATATTTTTTAAGACACTGTACTATGTTCTGCAAATTTTATTAAGGTTCATAGATACTCTGATAAGAGAGATAAACCTTATTGACAAATATGTCTATTATTCCTTTATAAATTTGTCAAGTTGAAGTATCTTTTTTGTCCAATTTTGACCCACAAGCTATGCTATATTTTTTGGGGGGTATTTTACTTGAAAAATACATTTAATTTGGAAAACCAAAAGAGTTAAAGAAACATTTTATATGAGTGAGCAGAGGGTTTATGAACCTTAAGTCCTTTCAAAGTCAATTTTCATGAATCACTATTTTTTTTTGCAGGAAGTTATTAAATTCCATATAGAATTTTAATACAATTTCCTTTAAAATTTCAAAATGTTTACTGGTGATGTAGAAGTTCAATTTAAATGATTGAATAGAGTAGGGATCAAGTCCTAGCTAGTTCATATCAGAGACATAGTACAATATGTATCAAAGTTGTGCTGCTTCTCTGCTAAATCTGAATGCATGTAATTGTGTTAGAAAAACAATGTGCCAAACTTCAAAGACAAAGAAATGTTTAGATAGGAAAATACTGTAGATTCCTTATTTTACTCAAGTACATGTACTTAATATCGTGAAATGGCTAAGGGCGTCAAATCGCAAGAAAAATAATTTACGAATGGGTGATTTATTTAGAGATTTTACATACATTAAAGCACCATAAAAATAAAAGCGAGTAATTTTATTTTGCAAGTGGTGCTTCTGGCATAACTAAGCGATAATTTATTCCTCGCATATATTTAGGAATCTACAGTAACACACCTGTAGTTCTGTGGAGTTTCTCTGTAATGCTATGTATTGACCTGTCCACTTATAACAATGACATACCTGTAATTCTGTGGAGTTTCTCTGTACTGCTATATATCGACCTGTCCACTTATAACAATGACATACCTGTAGTTCTGTGGAGTTTCTCTGTAGTGCTATGTATCGACCTGTCCATTTATAACAATAACACACCTGTAGTTCTGTGGAGTTTCTCTGTAATGCTATGTATCGACCTGTCCATTTATAACAGTGACATACCTGTAATTCTGTGGAGTTTCTTTGTAATGCTATGTATCGACCTGTCCACTTATAACAATCATGACATACCTGTAATTCTGTGAAGTTTCTCTGTAATGCTATGTATCGACCTGTCCACTTATAACAATGACATACCTGTAGTTCTGTGGAGTTTCTCTGTAATGCTATGTATCGACCTGTCCACTTATAACAATGACATACCTGTAGTTCTGTGGAGTTTCTCTGTAATGCTATGTATCGACCTGTCCATTTATAGTCAGGGTTCTCACACATCATTTTCTCTTCATCACTGATGTACACATGTTCAGTCTGCTTGGCATGGTCTGATAAGAAAATACCACACTCTTACTGATATTCAAATGGCTCTTTTTTAAATATAACAATGAATTCAATGTTCTTATTAAATCTATGAATATGTAATCCTACAAATGTTTTCCAGCTTACCATCAATGTCCTCCAGTTTGAGTTTTCTTCTGTACTGAATACGGAACAAAAATAACTCCAGAATGAAGGCTAAAACAATTGTCATGACAACCTACAATGGAAATAATTGTAATGGCAACCTTCAAGGAAAAACTTTGGTCCCTCATTACATTCATTATGGTATATGCAGACTGCTTTGCATTTGTTTTCATTGGAGGGTTGTTATTTTTTAAAAAGGTTAAAGTTGATTCATTTCTCTTTTTCTTTTTTTTTTGACAATCTCGTTTCCCCTATCCATATCAATCTGTTAATCATCAAGGGACAAGATAACATGTGATGATTTTACCTTTAAGTTACCATCCAAACAATGTTGAACATAATACAGATAAGATGGCATCTAATGATTTAACCTTACCATCATAACGATGTAGAACATTATCAAGATGAGAAGACATTTTATTTTGTTGTCTAAATATTGTTATCCCTTGAAAACTACTGTTGACCTCAGCTCTGCCACGTCAACAATGGTTTTCGCAGGATAACAATTTCGCATGTTACCCTAAAAAACATAATTATCATTTATTTATAATATGTATACTGACCATCATAGCAATGAACACAATGAAGATGAGATGACATTTAACATTGTGTATACTAACCATCATAACGATGTAGAACGTCATAAAGAACGTCCTGGACACCTCTCCCGTGTGATGAGCGAATCCTTCCTGTAAACAGTAGAAAAAAAATATCACACAGGCAATAACAATTTTATCTGACATAGTTGAATTTACCAGCTTTAAGCCAGGAGCACTCTACTAAAATGTATTTACAGAGTACAACCATCTGCTAGTTAACAATCTAATAAACTGTTTTTACTTTAGTTGTACCTCAAAAGGCAATAGTTTTGAAAAATAAAATCTTAAAATAAGATGTCCGATCGTTTTACTTACCATTATTATGAACCAGTTGTTGACCACTGTTAGCTCAAACAGCGTCACTACAATAGACGATACAAAATAAGTCAGGTAAAGTTTACATTTCAGTTTATAAGTTCTTAAAAATTTACATCATGTATATATAGTGATATTTACATCAAGACCAGTGCATAAATAAATGTTAGATGACCTTAAAAGGTTTTCATTGAATGAATGAGAGAGAAGCCTAAGCGTTACTACACTTAGTATAAAAATTCAAAGGTGTTCCTACATGTAATTTTTAATTCTAATGCAATTGTTTTGTAAAATGAATTTTGATTTGCTAATGCAATGAAGTTTGAGGCAGTTAAACGAGCATTAACGAGAGTGAAAGCCTTTGATTGTGACGTCATAATAGAGCGACGCAAAAAAACAATCCGTGAAGTATTTCATATAACAAAACTCAACATCAGCATTAACGGTCACAAATACCAAATTAGAAGAAGTTATTCCCTAATTTAGTAAAAGAGTATCATTCCAGATTCCTTTAAAAATTATTCCTATGAAAAAAAGTATGTGAAAGTTGACTTTATCAAAACAAAACCAAAAAAATGACCACCAGTTACAAATATGAGTATATTACTGAGTTTTACATAAAACTTACCACCAGATATGAGTATATTACTGAGTTTTACATAAAACTTACCACCAGTATATTACTGAGTTTATCAGCAAACTTACCACAAGATATGAGTATATTACAGAGTTTTACAGAATACTTACTGCTAGATATGAGTATATTACTGAGTTTTACAGAAAACTTACCACCTGATATGAGTATATTACATGTACTGAGTTTTACAGAAAACTTACCACCAGATATGAGTATATTACTGAAGTCATTGAGGTAATAATATCCCAAACTGTTGGTGTTGTTGCTAAACTTGTAGAATGCTTCTACACTGGTGTTTCTGCAAAGATAATCAATAAGGTACATGTATACAAGTTAACCTTTCACTGATTCTCTCTCTCTCTCTCTCTCTCTCTCTCTCTCTCTCTCTCTCTCTGGATTCCCTTTATGAAACTTCTATCACAGACAATAATTCATAATAAATTTTGATTTTCTACTTTTAAGGACAGTATATTATTTACTGGACAAGACTATGAATATATACACAGCACTTGATTATTTAAAAAAAGTAGAATGATGATGATTGATAACTTACTTGCAGCAATTTTTGAGATCAACGTATAGGAAGCACTCCATGGCAATAATGGCAAAGAAATAGTAGACTAGCATGATGACAACCACTAGACTAAAACAAGAATAGGTCAAGGTCAAACTAAATATAGCACAAACATCATAATACATTGTACATCCAAATTCACAGTTCTACAAATAATGATCATTTCAATAAAAATAATGTAAAAAAAAAAAAAACACTGTCAAACAAACAAAGTCCAAAAAGTAAAAAATCTTGTAAGAAATACATGTAAAAGGTAAAAATAGGGCAATTAAAATAAAAATGGAGATGTTTTACCTGAGGAGCCTAGAGAAGAGAATGAACAGCGTCCCTAGTACATCCCTATAACTTCTCTTCATCTTAAACAACCTGATCAAATAGCAAGTCAATATTGTAAACATTTAAATAAATATATCAATATCTTAAACACATTTTAATCATTGCAAATAAACTTATTAAAGTTGAAATCAATGTAATATTGCTGCTGTGTACTCAGCTATGTTAACTTTTCATAAACAGTTTTTTTATATACTAAAGAACTGTGCAAAGTTACATGAATTTTTTCATTACACTAACATTCCTTTACCTGAGAAGTCTGAATGGTCTAAGGACAGTGATGTAGAAGAAAGAATCATTAAAGTACTCTCCTAGTAAACCTATAACACTAGTCACCGTTACCAGGAAATCAAACCTAAAAATAACAATAGACCAAATATAGGCTGGTCACAATCAAACCTAAAAATAACAATAGACCAAATATAGGCTGGTCACAATCAAACCTAAAAATAACAATAGACCAAATATAGACTGGTCACAATCAAACCTAAAAATAACAAATAGACCAAATATAGACTGGTCACAATCAAACCTAAAAATAACAATAGACCAAATATAGGCTGATCACAATCAAACCTAAAAATAACAATAGACCAAATATACGCTGGTCACAGTTAAACCTAAAAATAACAATAGACCAAATATAGGCTGATCACAATCAAACCTAAAAATAACAATAGACCAAATATAGGCTGGTCACAATCAAACCTAAAAATAACAATAGACCAAATATAGACTGGTCACAATCAAACCTAATAATAACAATAGACCAAATATAGGCTGATCACAATCAAACCTAAAAATAACAATAGACCAAATATAGACTGGTCACAATCAAACCTAAAAATAACAATAGACCAAATATAGACTGGTCACAATCAAACCTAATAATAACGATAGACCAAATATAGACTGGTCACAATCAAACCTAAAAATAACAATAGACCAAATATAGACTGGTCACAATCAAACCTAATAATAACAATAGACCAAATATAGGCTGATCACAATCAAACCTAAAAATAACAATAGACCAAATATAGACTGGTCACAATCAAACCTAAAAATAACAATAGACCAAATATAGACTGGTCACAATCAAACCTAATAATAACGATAGACCAAATATAGGCTGGTCACAATCAAACCTAAAAATAACAAAAGACCAAATATACGCTGATCACAACCAAACCTAAAAATAACAATAGACCAAATATAGGCTGGTCACAATCAAACCTAAAAATAACAATAGACCAAATATAGGCTGGTCACAAATCAAACCTCTTACACTGTGAGAATACCATTTTGATATCCTTTCACACTAGTACTGTGTAAGAATATCACTTTTATTAAATCATTTACAAAAGTGATTATGGTCATTTGTACATTATGAAACAAGTTATTTTGATTACCCACTTAATCTGATGCTAAGCCTAGTTATTTTTTATTTTACACACACATATTTTGATATTGCCTATAACAAGAGGCCCATGGGCCTTGAATCGCTCTTCTGATAAACTGTACAACCTATCACTTCTATTTGAAGCCTCGAAGTATCCTGTATATTTACATAAACCCTTGAAATTCCAATTCACACTCTGAGAACCCAAGATGATTCTAAGCCAATTAGTACCTGAGAGTTGGTCATGGTGACCTACTTATCACTTGTCATTCTCTGAGGACCCATCAACTAAGTTTGATGATTCTAAGCCAATTAATACCTAAAATATTTTTTAAAATTATAATCATAAAATTTTATAAGTAGGTCAAAATGACCTACTTTTCAATTGTTTTACTCCAAGGACCCAAGATGCATCAACTGACAAAGTTTGATGATTCTAAGCCAATTAGTACCTGTAATATTTAATTAAAGCCATAAATTTTCAAAAGTAGGTCAGGTCACCGTGACCTACTTTTCAGTTGCTGTACTCCGAGGACCAAAGATACATCGACTGACAAAGTTTGTTGATTCTAGCCAATAAGTTCCCAAAATATTTAATTATAGCCATAAATTTTCAAAAGTAGGTCACAGTGACCTACTTTTCAGTCAACCTACTCCGAGGACCAAAGATGCATCAACTGACAAATTTTGACGATTCTAAGCCAAATAATTCCTGAAAATATTAAATACAGCCATAAAATTTCAAAAGTAGGTCACCGTGACCTACTTTTCAGTTGTTGTACTCCGAGGACCCAAGACGCATCAACTGACAAAGTTTAATGATTCTAAGCCAATTAGTAACCGAAATATTTGATTTAAGCCATAAATTTTCAAAAGTAGGTCACCGTGACCTACTTTTCAGTTGTTGTACTCCGAGGACCCATGACGCCTAAACTGACAAAGTTTTATGATTCTCAGCCAATTAGTACCCGAAATATTTAATTAAAGCCATAAATTTTCAAAAGTAGGTCACGGTGACCTACTTTTTAGTCGATCTACTCTGAAGACCCAAGATGCATCAACTGACAAAGTTTGATGATTCTAAGCCAATTAGTACCCGAAATATTTAATTATCGCCATAAATGTTCAAAAGTAGGTCACTGTGACCTACTTTTTAGTCGACCTACTCCGAAGACCCAAGATGCATCAACTGACAAAGTTTGATGATTCTAAGCCAATTAGTACCCGAAATATTTAATTAACGCCATAAATTTTCAAAAGTAGGTCACTGTGACCTACTTTTTAGTCGACCTACTCCGAAGACCCAAGATGCATCAACTGACAAAGTTTGATGATTCTAAGCCAATTAGTACCAGAAATATTTAATTATAGTCATATAAATTGAAAAGTAGGTCACGGTGACCTACTTTTCAGTTGACCTTTTTTGAGGACCCAAGATGCATCAACTTACAAAGTTTTATGATCATAGGACTTAAAATGTCCAAATTATGCCTCTAAAACGCTTTGAAATCGAATGCCTGCAAAGTTCAAAAAGTAGGTCACTGTGACCTACTTTTTAATAAATATGTTTTATGGCCCCAAGATGCATCATCTTACAAGATTTAATGATTCTAAGCCTCCCCGTATTCGAATTCATGACCTTAATTGTTTTAAAAAAGATTAGCCATAAAATTCAAAAAGTAGGTCAAGGTGACCTACTTTTTAGTTGACGTACTTTGAGGACCCAAGATGCATCAACTGACAAAGTTTGATGATCATAAGCATTAAATTGTTCAAAATATGCCTCTAAATCATTTTGAAAAAGAATGGCCGCAAAATTTAAAAAGTAGGTCACTGTGACCTACTTTTGAGTCAACATGATATGAGGTCCTTAGATGCATCAACTGACAAGATTTGATGATCCTAGTCCTTATAGTAAGCAAAATATCAACATTTTAATAAAATGTAATTTTTGGTCAACTTTGAAGTGACCTTGAGACCACGCCCTTTGCCCCAGGGTAAATCCCCGTGCAAATTTTAATCTACAACATATCCTCATCCTTTTGTGTAAGTTTGGTGATAATCTGCCCAGTGGTTCTTGAGAAGAAGATTTTTTAGCAACCAGTACTTTTGTTTCTATTTTCCTAATTATCTCCCCTTGTTAAAGGGTTACAACCCCAGTTTTAGTATAAAAGGGAGCCCTTGGGCCAAGGATACCCTGTGACAAATTTGACAATAATTGGCCAAGGGGTTCTTGAGTTATGGCCCATATTCTAAAAAGTTTACGCACACCGTACAAATGCCCATAGCATTAGCTCTTTGAGCCTTTGGCTCAGAAGAGCTAACAATTAAAACTGGTACTTGATACACTGATAACTTAATTCTGAGATCAATCTGATCCTATTTATTCCGATAACTCATACTGATAACTCACTTAATATGATATGGTTTATATTGGTCACAATCCAATACTGTATTATGATTTATTCGCACCATGTTATTTTCGCCCTTTCATACTTCCAAACAATTTTTTCCCAACTTAAATTGGCCTTGATGCAGTTGTGATAAAGAGATAAATGCTGTCCTCTTTGAAACCACCCAGTTTTAAATTTGCCCCTTTTTTCAATGAGGGTGAATGGGGTAACAACTATAATAGGAGCAAAACTTTCCCTGTAAACAGTACTTGCCCCAGGATCATGAAACAAATTTAGACTTAAGTCAAATTTTCAATGGTCTGTAAATTGTTTATTAATTATTGAATTAATCTCTAAATTTGCAGTTAACAACACTTTTGTAAAGCAGTATTGTAAAATATTTTAATTTTGCTCTGTTTGACTTCTACAAAATTTTAGTACAACATAAAGATTTTGACTTAAGCTTAAGATGTTTCATGATCCTGGGGTCTGGACATTCTGATGACACATTTAATCTAATACTGCTAATTCTGATAACACATTTAATCTAATACTGCTAATTCCGATAACTCTAACCTGATACTGTTTGTTATTTTAAAAAAAATCAGAAATCTGTCATTCCAACAACTCACTTAAATTAACACTGCTTTCTTACATGTGGTATATAGCAGCACATTTGATAATAGATAATAGATAAACTGATATTTCTTACAGTCACCTGGAATTTCACCAAAATTTATATTGTAGAGAACCTAGAAGAAAAATTCTTACACATCCCATCCTGTTGTAAAATATTCAAGTGGACCTTTGGCAAGAATTTTTATTGAGGCCTCCATGGTATATACTGAAAGGTAAAGAAATAACATATTGTCACATGTTTAAAGTAATTAATGTACTTACCAAAAAATGCAGGATCAAATACAATTCTAAAGGGAAAAGGAGAAGAGTTTTTGGATTAATGCTTCACGAGGGTATGTTACAGCTACACCTAGATATTTTGCCTTGGTGAAATCAGCAATACAATATGATGTCATAGTAAGCTATATGATATGAACTTTAGAGCCAATGATCTCTGAGCATTTCTATTTAAAGGTTTATTTAACACCTAAAAATGGAAACTTTCATAAATATAATTTTAACAAAATCTTTTGACTTCAATCAAAAAGTATTTGTCACAAGGGTTAAGCATAAACTAATGACATCATATCTGTTTATCAAAAATTTTCAAAGGAAAATGAAATTATTTATTCAACCTGGTGCTCTGATTTATTTTCACCAATTACATGTATTTAAACAAAAACAAGCAGTCATTTTCAAGTCCTGGTCAGTCTTTCCTCTGTCATTCTCAATAACAAGAAGCAAAAGTTCAACACTGCATCTATACCATGTACATACATGCATGTATACTTTGAAACCTATTTGTTCAGATCAAAAGTTTGTGTTCTATAATACTTGAAAAATACTGCTAGAATCATGTGGTAAACATCAGTCAGTAAAAATTCCTTGATAAATCAATTCTAAAAATGTAGGTAAGGATTCAAATAAATGTGTGGACTAAACATTTCTGTGATGGAACAGTATGCTTCACTTTTCATGGCCCAGAGATGTTTTTACATGATAATTATTCCTTACTCAATTGACTAAACACCTACATATGTTGAACTTTTCACATTTTCATTACGGCATATTTTCTATTTATAGATGTCACATGACGATGTCATGGTATAGCACTTTTATTAGCCTTGGAAGCTCTAACATATCTGATATCTATACAATGGATAATTCAATAGTTTATGTTATCATTATCATGTTATTATTATTTTATTATATCAGTGGTTTTTGACGATATATTTAAGTTGCATTTTTTTTTATAAAAAAGGGTAAATTTCCCAAAAAATGATCTGGGTGCTGTCTTAACATACCTTAACATGAAACATGTCATGTTCAAATAAAGACTTGTAATTTTACTTACTGCACACAAAAATGATGGAAGCCCAAGTGATTGTAAAGTTGTAATGTTTAACATCAATGTTCTTTTCTGTAAATATGATTACAATTTTAATATTCAGTTGTGGACTGTCAGCACATGTGTACTTTCAGACAACACATTAATTTAAAACTCAACCATACTTTCACAAACAGTATACAAGAGCATGAGAAAAGTTTTAACGTTGGAGTTACTTACTAGAGAGTGATATCGTCTCCACCAGAATCCATATAAAATTGGCTGCAATCACTAAATCTGGGGGGAAAAAGATATTTACATGTATATGTATGCTATTATAATTTTGAACAAGATTTTATCATTCCTACTCAATTAATATTTTCCATCACAAACACTGATTAATGTAAAAAGTACATAACATATACAGCATGTACTTAAACCTTCACTTCCTGGTAGTTACTTACATATAAATACCTCAAACCATCGCCAATTAATGAAATCATTTAATTCTGAAAGAAAAAGAAGGATGCATAAATCTATGCTTGTGAGAACAAACACATTATGGACATATATGCCCCCCCTTTTCACTGAGAACCAATACCCTATCTGGATCTTTTACCACATAATTATAAAAACAATTACATGTAGTCCTCTTTATGAATGAAATCATTATGAAATTTTATCACAAATTTGTTTCAATTATTTCTGCTTTCTAATTCAATTACATGTATATGAATTAAAAATCTTTAATGACATACAATAAACTTACTTCTAAAAATAAAGTTGAAAGGATGTCTAAAATTTGATGACCATATCTGGAACTCTTCTTGCTTGGGCTGAAAAGAGAATCTTCAAATCATAATACAAACAGGTGCTTGATGTACAGGTACATATACAATTTACCTTCTGACAGCAATATATACATGTATATATCATAAACAGGACACATTTTGCCTTTGTGATCAGGCCAGAAATTGATATCATGCTATTTGATCTACAGCATTATTGATTCTCTTCAATTTATTTACTTCTTAGTTATAATCAATCAGATATTACAGTAAAGGGTTATTAGTTCTCGATTGATACTGACCTTCCACTGAAGGTCAAGGACACTAAACACACTGTAAAACTCCTCCAGGCTCAGTTTGCCGACCTTGGATGTGTTCAGGGTTTTGAAGGACAAATAGGCTTCAAGTCGCTCTATAGGGAAATAATTTTTTTATAATTCATTTTCATACATGTGTCTGTTTATAATAACATTGTAATAAGAATAGCTATGTAACTTACTTTTTTTAGGTTTGAAGTACTTGAGCATCCCCATGAAGTTCCCAATATTGACTTTGTTGTTATCCTACAAAACATACTGAATATAAACTTAATTTTACCTAAACACAATCATACTCTAGCAATAGATTCTTAAGTCATTGTTTTGTTTTGTATTGAATTCATATAGTGTGTAACATGTCTGCCTGTTGTGATTTTTTTTTGGTGGTGGTGGTGATATCTATCTGCCAATTTAAACATTCTCACTGGAGCAATTTTAGATATAGGCTAATTAACAAAATGCTTTTTATTTCATGCAGCAATCTTGAATCTGGGCTAGATTCTTATTTATACATTAGGGTGAAAATCAGGGAGTGGCAATATTTCATCTAGACTACATTATTCTCCTGTAAATATTACCAGGGATACAGACAGACATTGACTATGATTAACTGACTTTTCCTGAAAACATACCTGTTTTGTAACAAGGAGTTTAAAAGCATGCTGACAACCTGTTCTTTTGTGAAAGTATAGCCTCTTTAACTTTCTCTTTTCCAGATTTGAAAATGTATCATAAACAACAGCCAATAACTGAAAAAAGTTAAACAAAAATTACAATACAAAATAAAATTTAATATTAATGTGAAAAACATTTAAAGTACAGAAAACAATCACTCAGACAAAATTCTGTGTTAAGACAATTTTTGAAATTTATCAAATGAAGACTAGTATGATTGATTTAACAAAAAATGCTGCCTTCAGATTTCACAATCAAGAAAATTTTGCCAAAATCTTTTCAAATTCATAAGAAAAAATAAAACTAAAGCCACATACATAATAAAAAAAGAAACTTACCAGATTCATAAGGAAATACAAAACTAAGGCCAGATACACAATGAAGAAGGCGGCATTCCAGCGGGAATCAGCGTATGCAGGCATCATTACATCAGGAAAACTGAGAACAGAAAATTATCTTATGTCAGCATCAGAATTAAGCATTCATAATCAACAAAGGGGTTCCTACAATACAAGGATTTTATTTATGTAAAGAATATTTTTTCAAATATATGCAGGTGCAGGAACTATGGTATATATTAGATATTATATACATGTATATATATATATATGTATGTATGTATATGTATATGTATGTATGTATATATATATTTGCTAAAGTATAAATTTCAAGATTTAAACCTAGACAATTAGAGCAGATTTCTAAAGAAATTTCCAAATTTTCCAGGTAGAAGACTTTAGTTAGGATATTGCTTAATTAACAAACACAGGTCAATTCCTCTACTGTAGTTAATTAAAAATGCAATTCTCTTTAAGCCAAGGAGCTCAAGGGCATTCACGATCAAATGTGATTCCTTTTTTTTAATTAACAAATACATCTAACATCAAAACCTTTTACTATCTGGGCCTATAATAAGCTAAAACAAGAAATGTTTGAGAAACATAAAAGCAAAAATTCCCATGGGTGGGATTTAAGGGGTAAAGTAATTTGATTAACAGTTGGCAGTTCTTGACATTTCAAAAATTCAAGAATCTTTCTAGAAAGTGAACAATGTAAAAAAAAAAAAAAAAAACGATTTGTACCCATTTAGAGATGTTGCAAGTCCATTTACAATGCACATAGAACCCAAATTAAATGCAACTGTCAAATGCCATCACAAAAACAGATAATATAATTGCTTTTACTGTTTTAGTGTCTGTCTCCATGTCATAGCCTATAAATGAGAAATAAATGTATTTTTATTTGGAGATTTACGGTAAAACATGGTTATAGCAAACATGCTTATAATGAATTATGGCTTATAGCAAAGTGATTTTCATTTCCTGTGGTTTTAAAACATTCTGATGTGTATGTTAACAAGAGGCCCATGGGCCACATCACATACCTGAGTACACTGGCTAGGAAAAAGCACAAATCAGTTCAATTTTGAAAAGCTTAAATGGAGGGGGGGGCCCTCCCTATCCCGGGGGTCATCATTTGAATAAACTTGAATCTACACTACCTAAGGATGCTTCCATATCAATTAGACTAAACATGGCTTTTCTGTTCTTGAGAAGAAGATTATTTCCTATACATTCCTATGTAAAACTTTGATCCCCCATTGTGGCCCCACCCTACCCCAAGGGGTCATCATTTGAATAAACTTGAATCTACACTACCTAAGGATGCTTCCAAATCAATGTGACTGATCACAGATTTGTTACTGCAGATTCCTAAATGTACACGAGGAATAAATTAACGTGTAATTACGCGAGAAGCACCACTCGCGAAATAAAATTACTCGCTTTTATTTTTATGGTGCTTTAATGCATGTAAAATCTCTAGATAAATCACCCATTTGCGAATTATTGTTCTCGCCATTTGACGCCCTTCGGCCTTTTCGCGATATTAAGTACTCACGTAAAATAAGGAATCTACAGTATTCTTGATATTTTTAATAAATTCTTAAGTAAAATTTTGATCCCCTATTGTCACCCCACCCTACCCCTGGGGGTCAGGATTTGAACAAACTTGTAATGAAGGTTTCACAAAAGTTCTTCTTCAACTTTTCTTGCCTAATGGTTCTTAGAAGATTTTTGAAAGATGACACCAAATTTTAACTTATTCATAATTATCTCCCTTTGAAAGGGGGGTGTGGCCCTTTATTTGAACAAACTTGAATCCCCTTCACCCAAGGATGCTTTGTGGCAAGTTTGGTCAAGTTTGCTCAAAATTGGCCCGATGGTTCTTCAGAAGAAGTCAAAATTGCAAAAAGTTTACAGATTGACAGACAGATGGATAGACAGATGCCAGACAAAATGTGATCAAATTTTCATCCATGTTTGAACACTTACTTTGCTGTTGTCAGCTTGAACACTTACTTTGCTGTTGTCAACAACACAAACAGGCTGATGAAGCTGTCCTGGATCGTGCTAAAGTACTACAACAGATACAGGGTATAACAAATGTAGTCTGTCATTTAAAATCAAAAGTACTACAACAGATACAGGGTATAACAAATGTAGTGTGTCATTTAAAATCAAAAGTACTACAACAAATACAGGGTATAACAAATGTAGTGTGTCATTTAAAATCAAACTACTACAACAGATACAGGGTATAACAAATGTAGTCTGTCATTTAAAATCAAAAGTACTACAACAGATACAGGGTATAACAAATGTAGTCTGTCATTTAAAATCAAAGTACTACAACAGATACAGGGTATAACTAATGTAGTCTGTCATTTAAAATCAAAGTTCTACAACTGATACAGGGTATAACAAATTTAGTCTGTCATTTAAATTCAAAGTACTACAACAGATAAAGGGTATAACAAATGTAGTCTGTCATTTAAAATTAAAATACTACAGCAAATACAGGGTATAGCAAATGTAGTCTGTCATTTAAAATCAAAATACTACAACAGATACAGGGTATAACAAATGTAGTCTGTCATTTAAAATCAAAATTCCACACTGAAGTACTATAACAGATACAGGGTATAACAAATGTAGTCTGTCATTTAAAATCTAAGTACTACAACAGATACAGGGTATAACAAATGTAGTCTGTCATTTAAGTACTACAACAGATACAGGGTATAACAAATGTAGTCTGTCATTTAAAATCAAAATTCAACATTAAATTATTTCAAGATCATTGTTCAATTACACACAGAAAGTAGATGTTTCTTTACAAAACACTTACTGTGTCATTTGGTACACCAGAAAACAGGTAAAACCCTGTAAATATACAAACAATAATTATTTTTTTAAAATAAAAAGTCAGCTGTACAACCTACATGAAATAGAAACAAGATGTGTTTGTGAAACACTGATGCCCCCTTATGGCAACTTATAGCAAAGGTTAAACTTTCTCAAATGCAAATCAAATATGTTGATACCCAAAGTAAGGTCTTGTCTCGAGGAATAAACCTGTGAAATATGAAAGGCCTAGCAGCAACCATTAAATACATGTAGATATGGAAAAGGTTAAAGTTTTTTTCAAAAATATGTCAAACATCAAGGTCAAGGTCAAATGGTCAAAATTAATGGTGCCAAAGGAAAGGCCTTCTCCCAAGAAAAACACAGGTGAAATATGAAAGCCGAAGCACCAATCGTTCAAAAGTTATGGCCAAGGTTAAAGTTTTCCAAAAGTAGGTCAAACTCCAAGGTCAAAGGGTCAAAGCTGTTGGTATCCAAAGAAAGGTCTTGTCACAAGAATTACATATGTGACATATGAAAGCCCTAGCACCAACCGTTCAAAAGTTATGGTCAAGGTTAAAGTTTTCCAAAAGTAGGTCAAACTTCAAGGTCAAGGTTAAAGGGTCAAAGTTGTTGGTATCCAAAGGAAGGTCTTGTAACAAGGATTATACATGTGAAGTATGAAAGCCCTAGCACCAACCTTTCAAAAGTTATGGCCAAGGTTAAAGTTTGGTAAAATCCTGCAAAACTGGGTCAAACTCCAAGGTAAGATCAAAAGGTCATATGTGGTGGTACCCAAGGAAAGGTCTTGTCATAATGAACACTCATGTCAAATATTAAATCCTTACCCTTGACAGCGCAATAGTTATGGGCTAGGTTAAAGTTGACAACAGACAGACAGACAAACAGACAGACAGGACAAAAACAATATACCCCCAGGATCTTTTGATCCGGGGGCATAAAAATACTTATTATGCACATGTACATATAATTGCTTGGAATCTCTTTTTGAGGGTGACTGAGGATTGTAAAACTTAAATAATGTAAATCCATAATATTAACTAAGTTTTTATTTTGTCACAGGTAAATGTTACCAAAAGAAAATGAAGGGAAGAAAATATCAAGCTAAGAAAACGTCTAAACTCAGGTCTCCTAAAATCTACAAATTATTATCTAAGTGAATGCCATCTACATGTAACTATGTAATAATATAGGGTTTTAATAATCTTTAATAAAGCAGAAATGCTAACACATAAAATCATGTATATTTTTACCAAGTATAGAGAATATCAGGATGAAGAACATGAGGAGAAATATGAGTTCCAGGATTGGAGGCAGGGACATCAGGATCTGACGGCTGATTCTGTAATTAACAAAAAACTGCTGTTAATGTGCAGTGTAAATATAAAATGTAGTCCATTCATTACTGTATTCTGTTCATATTATTTATGCCCAAAAAAAAATTAACATTCTTCACAGATCCATTTGAGCATTTCATTTCATAGACATTCATCCCAAATCTTATATACCATTTTGATTGATCCCCCTCCCCAACACACATACACTTTACTTATCTTCCATAAGTCTGAACAATCAAAATAAAAGGAGGCTACATGACCTTCTGACCCCTCTGAAGTAATGTGTGTCAATAAGGAAGAGCGGCCTGAGTGCCCTCGTGACCCGGAAGTGATTCGTCTGACGAATCAGAACAACAACAGACTCAATAAACATGATCGTCAGCGTAAACGACTGAAAAAAGAAACAACTGCACACAGTAATCATACAGCAATATTAATACTTCACTAAATATTATTTTTAAAAAGTTATTATATTTTAGTTGCTAGCAAAATTTCATTAAGCTGGTTATTTTTCATTCAAATATTGAAATAATCAACTTGAAGGGAATATTCATTTCACTTGTATAGTAGGTACATATTGCTGTCAAAGATTTAGGAAGTAACAGAGATCTGTATGAGTTTACTCAGTACTGATTAACCTTGATTGCTGTCCTCTTGTGTTTGAAGAATGTCTTCCAGCCAAGCCACCTTAACTTGATGGCTAACTGCAGAGCCAGGATTAGTTGCCCCAGAATCTCTAGAGAACCATGGACCTGTAAAAAAAAAACATTCCTAATGTTGAAGTATTTTCAGAGATTGCGTTCACAATATGCTAAACCAAGACCAAGATCCACAATAAAACTTGAACAATATTTTTCTTTCGTCTCTATAGTAAAAAACCTGTTTCAATTCAGACTGCTAGTTCACTAATCTACCAAATATGTTCCATCCTTACTTACACCAACTGGTAAAGTTAGAAATGGCACGGCCGGCCGTTCACATGCAGCCAGGAAAAGGAGACCAAGAGCAGCGACAAGGTCCAGGACTTTAAACCACTGATGATGAGCAATCTGATAGGCTGGCAGGGCATTACAACTCCGGGGGTGCGTGTAGAACTTGTCGTTATTTTCTCCCTCCTGGAGAAATATGGCGGCCTCCTGGTAGTTCAGCTCCCACAGCTTTCTGTTCTCGCGGCGAGACATGTGCTCCGAGATCGGAAATTCATATCCCATATTCCCCGTGTCATTGACAATTTCATATTCTGACTCAGCTGTAAGATTAAAATAAAAACAGAATTATTAATCAATTTGTTTGTAATAAAAACTTGCACAGTAAGCTAAGCTATGAACACCTTGTCAATTTGTTTCTAACCTAACAAAATAAAATCCTTTAATCTTCTCACCTATGATTGCTTCAAAAGGTGTAGTAATCATAGGTGAGGTGATCAAAGAAGATCATTTTCATAAGAGTTATTTCTAATGCATTTAAATTGCCAAAAACTTTACAACATATTAAGAAACTATTCAGTTCTTGATCTGTAGTTGTACGACACATACCAATAGTACTGTAATAGTTTGGGCTGTGGATATCAGCCTTGGTGCTCAGTGGCACCGGTGCTTGAGGACAGGACCCCCCCCCCCCCCTTTCTCTCTCCAATTTAGATGACAAGGAATTTCTATTAAAGTGTTTCATGAAACTACACCTAGCAAAAATCAAAAACTCAAATCTATAGATTTAATATTCATTTCATTCATCACCAAGTTTCATTATTTATGTTTAGGCATTCAACAGTTACTGTAGTAATGGCCAACTCCACAAGGATGTTAGCATCAACTGATCAAAGTCAAATCAATGGAAGTGATGAAGAGATGACTTTCTACCCAAATTTACTACTGTTGGAAGTACTGTAGGAAACACTGTTTTAGAATTAGCATGTGAAGAAAGTTGGTTAAAACACTTTTTAAAAATGTATTTCAAACATAGTACATGTATCAAAGTGTTTAAAACCACTGTTGTAAATTAAATTTATCTAATTTCTTTTAAATTATATGACTTATCATTTGACTTGCAGGTTTTGTTTTGAGAGTGTTGTCCCTTTAAGGACATTGGCAAGGTTCCTGGTTATCATATAGAATTTTTCAAGAACTCTTGAGTAGGTTTAATTGTACTAAACAGGCTATATTCTGGATTATTTTACCTACCAAGCCAGCCTTCTTTTTTAGATTTTGTCAAATCAGTGTTTTTGCAATTCCCAATGCATTTCCTATGTAAAATGTTGATAAAAGGGACCTACATAATTTTTCACCATAACAATTCTCCAAAACCCACTTATTTCACATAGTTTTTGTATTATATACATTATTGTATCTTTATCTCCTATGACTTGTAGTTATTTTGGCTGAAAATGTATATATAGAAACAAGACAAGGACATATCGGCACCAATCTTTATTTTTGAGTTACTTCCCTTAACAGCTATAATTACATATTATTCATAATGGTCAAGAGAGTCAGACTGGTTGATTGATTCTATCATGTAATTGACTGAATTGATTATAATACATTGACATAAAAATATTGGCATGGATTTATTTCAAATTTTATTCGCAGTTACTAAATTCTGCTTCCTTCATACAACCTAAGAACTGATCTCAGTCGGTCTACCTTTTAGCATATGTCACATCTTTGCCCTTCCCAGCATACTGAGCATAATTAAGGTAAATGACGATCTGTTGGCTCTTTGTCCCCTGAATACAATTTACAACAAAGCCATTACTACTTTTCTTTCTTGCTGTATAGATGATTCTACCCGTTGAAGGAAGTACACATGCTTTTGTTTACCTCTGTAAACATACGCTTTATTGGTTTTCACCGCTTGGATGTATTAAACCATATTATGCTGCCTACCAGCATATTTTTTAATATGCCCTCTCCATGTGACCTACTCACCACACATCAAATCAATATTCCCCCTCCACGTGCCATCCTGTCCAGATCATATTCAATATGCTGTTTCATTTGAATATGCAAAAAGCCTAACAACTGACATCACATAAGCATCAAACAACATCAAAATGTAAATAATCGTTATGGAAAGCTTCGTTTAACTAAGACAAAATGAATTTATTAAAAAAATCTTTGACAGGATGAATTCGTTATGTAGACACTTAGAGGGGTAATACATGTACCTATATATGTATATATGGGGTCCTTGAAAAAATGCATATTTTCAAGGACCCCATATATTTCCGTATTAACCCTCTAAGTGTCTACATATAAGTTAAGTGTCTACATAACCCCTAATAATATATTCAGTAGGGTAGAATTTTTCAAAATGTTTGTGTTTAGGAATTTTTAAATTGATAGTATGGATAAGATCAGAAATATGTCATTAAAAGATAACTTTTGAGAAAAAAAATCAGAAAGGCATGGGGGCTAGTCTGTATTGGGGAGTGTCCTGTCCTCAAGCACCAGTGCTCAGTATGGTTAGAGCACCTGACATCTGATGTTGGGGCTATGGGTCCAATTCCTATCCAGCCTCTTAACAATATAATATAATACGTTCTATCTAATCCAGGTCCGGCACAATCTCTTGATTAAGCTATATAGCTTGATTTAGCTATAAAGCTTTATAAAGTTATTCAGAATAGCTTGATTTAGCTATTTTATCACACTTTTTTCTCAAATGTGTTATTTTCCAAGTATGCACAGAAAGTCGCACCTTGGTGCAGTGATGATATTCATCCTTGAACTCTTATGAAAATAATGCAAGTAAAAATCACTCATCAAATTGCGTCTCCTTAAGAGACTTTGTACTCAAAGTTCCAAAAGTTTTGGGGCTATATAAAGCAATTGATACAGTTACTTCTTATAAAGGAGGCCAACAAGATAATTGATTGGTAATAATTCAGTACTTTGAGAAGCAATCATACTTATCCATGCCTCAACGCACACAAGGTAGTGTGCAGTTACCCAAACAATGGAAATTTATCTTTTGCTTAAAAGTATTCAAATGCTGCAATGTTAGACCTATCTTTGATTTGGGTTGTTGATTTTATAACCCATGCTACATATAGGAATAGTCAAATATTTGCGACTTTTTGTCTATTTTGTACAAATAAAATTTTGTGAAAACTTGCATATAATATACACTTATCCACTGGCTGTGAGTGGGATAGCTCTTTTATCAAACCCGCGACAGGGACTATTCCCCGAGGGCTTGCCCGAGGGGAATAGTTCCTGTCAAGGGTTTGATGAAAGAGCTATCCCATTCAAAGCCAGTGGATAAGCGTTTTATTATACTGATGTAAATTATAATTTCTGAGGGTTGGATTACCTATTACTACAGTGTCATAGGCAAAATATGAAAAGTTCAAAAGAATTTTGGGGAAGTATTTGGCGTAAGATAACACTGCAAGAATAAGCTGAAATGCTGATGACGTCACAATGCTAGTGAAGTCATAATGACATCATCAGTCTATAGATTTAATGCAGGAAATCAAAACTGGCGGCAAAAATTGAATGAACAGTAAAATGTGGTGTACCGCAAGGCAGTATTTTAGGCCCTCTACTATTTTTAATCTATGTCAATGATATGGCTTCCAGTATTGATCCTGACTGCAAACTTATTTTATATGCTGATGATAGTGCAATCTTATTTTCTCATAAAAATGTAGATTTTATTTCAGAAAAACTTAGTACTGTTTTAAAACAATGTTCAAATTGGCTAGTAGATAATAAGTTATCTCTACACCTTGGGAAGACTGAATGTATTTTATTTGGATCAAGAAAGAAGCTTTCAAGTGTCCAAGATTTTCACATTGAGTGTAATGGACATACAATACATTCTATGGAAAAAGTTAAATATTTAGGAGTTTTTGTTGATCAATTTCTGAGTGGTGAATTTATTGTTGAGTCCATTGTACAAAAAGTCAACAACAGGTTGCGTTTTTTATACAGACAAGCTCGTTTTTTGGATATAAGAAGTAAAATGTTATTATGTTCTGCTCTTATACAATGTCATTTAGATTATGCTTGCTGTGCATGGTATGCAGGTTTGTCAAAGAGTTTGAAAAAGAAATTACAAGTATGTCAAAACAAAATGGTAAGATTTATTCTGAATTTAACTCCTTTACATTCCATAAACTACAAAGTGCTTAGTACATTAAATTATTTAAATATAGAAGACCGGGTACGACAACTCAGATTAAACCATGTGTATAACATATATCATGGTTGTGCGCCATCCTATCTAAGCGAAAATTTTACTTTAAGGTCAGCCGTGTCTTCACGAAACACTAGAGCATCCACTAATGAAGATTTTTTTATTCCTCATGTGAAAGCATGTCAAGCGGATACTTTTTACTATAATGGCATTAAGGACTGGAATTTTTTACCAGCTTCTATTAAATGTACTAAAGGAAAGAGTACTTTTAAGAAACAAGTTAAGAGTTTTATCTTACAAAACGGCATTTTAGAACATGAAAGTGATATGTTTTAGCATTAACTTATAAAACATATTTTATTATTTTATTGATCCTATATGTTGTCATACTTAAATTAAATTTAACGTGTAAGCAACGCAGTGCTAAAATTATAGTGCCAAAAATTGTTATAGTGCTTTAATGATGAAACATTGTATTTTTATCTTATTTAGGGTAGGACCCCATTGGAAATAAGCTCTCCAGCTTTAATGGGTTATCCTGGTATCAACTAGTCACTATCTAAAATATGGTTTCCTGAATATCTATTTATAAATCTATTTAAAATTTATGGATTCTCAAATATTGTCTTTCAAATGACTATGTACATTTATGTGTATTTGTTTTATGTATGATGACATATGATACCAAATAAATGATGATAATGAAAGTTTTCCGAGGGGTGGATAGCACAAATTATTATACTTCTGTTAAAATGTTTCCTATATAAAGTTAAGAAGGTAAAATAACTATTTTTATAGTCTCAAAATTTCCACACATAGCAAAGCTATACCCCTGGGTATAGTTTTTTATATCCACCCCTCGGAAAATTTTCATGCAATTTTCGCCGCCAATTTTGATTTCCTGTAATCAATCTATAGACTTATGATGTCATCCTGACTTCAGTAGCATTGTGACGTCATCAGGATTTCAGCTCATTCTAGCAGTGTTATCTTATTCCAAATACTTGTTCAAAACTTTTATAAATCATTTTTTTTCTTCATGATTTTACTATCGAACTGTAGTATCAGGTAAATCCAACACTCAGAAATTATGATATACATCAGTATAATAAAACGCTTATCCACTGGCTGTGAGTGGGATAGCTCTTTCATCAAACCCTTGACAGGAACTATTCCCCTCGGGCAAGCCCTCGGGGAATAGTTCCTGTCGCGGGTTTGATAAAAGAGCTATCCCACTCACAGCCAGTGGATAAGTGTATACTATACGGTAATACCCCGGGGTATAGCTTTGTTAGATGTGAAATTTTCAGCCTATAGAAAAATAGTTATTTTACCTTCTTAACTTCATATAGGAAACATTTTAACAGAAGTATAATAAATAGCTTTATCAAGCTATTTTGAATAGCTTAATACAGCTATATAGCTATTTCAAGCTATATAGCTTAATCAAGAGATTGTGCTGGACCTGTAATCTACATGGTCTAGAGGAAGGGATTATCAATCTGTTGGGTGGGGTATTTAACATTTAAATATATGCAACGTTCCAGATTTAATTCAGATTGTCAAGTATAATCGGAAAATACATACTCATTGATGGCTTCTTTCCTGAAAGATTATTAACCTACGAATGTTTTGAAGTGAAAGTGAAAATTTATGCTGTGAACGTTTCTTCAAGATTAAAGATAAAAGATCATAAAGAAACATTCATCAAAATGTTATAAAATTAATCAAAATACTCTAATGATACTCACAAAGACTTGAAGTACGTCGATTTTTACGGAGAGGGTTAAGAGGCCGTTCCACATTACCCGCCATATTTGTTTTTATACATTCGGAACATGGAAAAATGATGTTCCGAATGTAAAAATAGTTTAGTTTTATTCCTCCGCATATCAATTTTCCACACGTTATGCTACTTTGAGAAAAATGGATTTTATACCTCATATTATAATAATTATCAATATAAAATTATTTTTTCGCTAGAAATGCAGAAATAATTTGCAAAGTTCTCCTGTTAAAGAGTTTCAAATAGTTATGTACTCCAGAACTATTTGTTGCTAGTGTAAGAAACTACAACAAATTAAAGGTAATTGGGTGTAAATATGGCAGATAAGAAAAACAAGATGGATACTGTTTTCTAAGCAAAAAAGAAAGATATTTATTGTGATATTAAGGAAAAACTAATTATGGCGACGGGTCAAGTATCGAGTGTTATCACGGAGGCTATTCCAGCTGAACCTACCTTAAAACTCCATATGCCACAGCCTCCAAACAGTAAGATGTGTGGCCCATCGAACAAAATTCGAAATAGGCTACGACTTGATCCGTCAAGAGCATTAGAACCTACAAGAAAAAAGATTTCTACTATTGAAGCTCAACGGGTAATGTCAGTTTTTGAGGATACAATAAGCAAAGCCGAGATTGTCACAATCCTTCCGTACATTTTGGAGAACCGAGAAAGATTCCGTGTAAGTTTGGGGGCCGAGCTATCTCTTTTACTGGACATTCATAAAAATACAGTAGATAGTTATGAGGAGATAAAGCAGCAGCTTGATATTCAGTTGCGTCAAAGACGTATTCGAACTGCAAGCACAGAAAAGAGTGAAGGGCTTGAAGAAGAGAGAACAGGGGAGTTTGGGGCTGCGGGGGTAACACCTACAGAAAGCCCAATGCCTGAAGCTGTAGTTAGGGATATATCAAGAAGAAGCAGTGTGGCTAGTGGTCAGTCTGCCAGATCAGTCCAGTCAGTGGAGAGCTATGACAGCCAAACAGAGAGAACAATGAGAAGTCTCAGTCTTGTTGCACAGCAACTTAGCAGCTCCTGCAAAAACATCCTCCGGGCATTCCTGTCCAATCCAAATGCTCTGAACATGATCAAAGCACAAGCAAGACGTTCTGAGCAGTGCGACGTGTTTATCAAGGATATGAATGACCTCCGAGATGTCCTGCTGAACAAGCTACTGACAACTCCAGAGGAAGAGAAAGAAAGAATGCAGTATATCCAGGAGGTATCCAAAAGGGAGAGACAGAATGCCGTAGTCATCGAGGACTTGGAGCAAAAACTGAAAGCTGCCATGGATGAAAAAGATGAAGAAGTACAATTATTTGTGTATTAAATTAATATGAAATATATTCATATTTTTCAAAAATATCATTCTTAATTTAAGTTCCAACTAATATCAAATGAAAAGAGTCTCATCTTGTTTATTTTAATTTCAAAAATGTCACCATTGATTGTTTGTATACATTAAAATAGTTTATTTATACATCTTACATAACATATTGGTCCATAAACTTTTCCAGATAAAGAAAAAGAACTCTGTTATCAGGAAATTGCAGGCAGACTTGCGACAAATTGAGAAGTTTTCAGATGAGAATAACAAGAGGGTGACCAATGAAGCAGAAAAACAGGAACAAGCAGACCTAAAGAACAGTGAAGGCAAAAAACAGCGGCTCATGACGGAGCTCAATCAACTGAAAACACAGCTTCAGAACGCTGTAATGGAGCACAGAGAAAATGAGCAGGAACTCAGAAGAGTATGTGTTGTTACTCAGTGTAGTGTAGTGTTCACTTTCCTATCACCTCCCACCAGCTTCTGAAATCTAAGATGTCTGCTGATAAATATTAAATTTTTAAGAAATTATAAGTACATGTCAGCACACATCAGAGAAATTTCAGATGCTGGAATAAAACCTGCCCTAGAATGTATTAATTGGAAACTTGTAGGTGAACATTGGACAAAGACAATAATTTCCCTTTATTAGACGATGCCAAGAGTATAAATTGATTTACTTGCATGAATGATCCATTTCTCTCATGCACAATCAATTTTTTTATGTATTAATTATTCTGAAAGAAGTCCTTAAAAAATTTAATAGACGTAAATCATGCTTTGTAAATTCTTTGTTTTAAAAAGTAAGAAATTTAAAATACTTCCCCATTTTTAATTTCTTTGTTCAATGTTGCAATGTTTCCAGTTGGTACCAGCACCTTTCACTTCCTGTAGATGTTGTACTCTGTAGCACTATTATGTAGATCCCACAGAAAAGTACTCTCTGTAGCACTATTATGTAGATTCCATGTACTCTCTGTAGCACTATTATGTAGATCCCACAGGTGTAGGGTACACCATTTAGTCAGTACCTAATTAGAGAGAGCTATCCAGTTTACCTTTTCTATAGATATACAGATAGACAGTTCGATCTTGTGTTAAGTAGAGAGCTTTCCAGTTTACCTATCCATAGCTACACAGATAGTCCAGACAGTTCGACCTTAAGTAGAGAGCTTTCCACTTTACCTACTCTGTAGATACACAGATAGTCCAGACAGTTCAACCTTAAGTAGAGAGCTTTCCAGTTTACCTTTTTTCCTTTCTCTTCTTTCCTTTTCATTTATGTAATGCAAACAAATGATTTGTTATGCTAATTTTATCTTAACTCTTAACTTGATAACTTTATCATGTTAATACTTAGATTTATTTCCTCTTCACTTTTTTAGTGAGTGGTTTATGATGGAATAATCAAACAGTATAAATTTGACATTATTGTACTTACAAACTTTTTAACAAGAGGCCCATGGGCCACAACGCTCACCTGAATCAATATGGCCCTGCTGTTCTTCGTCAGCAGATTTCTTCTATATTTCTCCTATATATTCATATATAAAGCTTTAATCGCCTGTTCTAGGCATACCCTACCCCAAGGTGCCATGTTCTGAATGAAATTGAATATAAACCTTCTGAGGATGCTTCTATCTTCATATAACTAATCATGATTTTGCTATTCTTTAAAACAGAATTTTAGATATGTCTAACACCCTACCCTGCTTGGGGGGGGTTCATGATTGCATGATTTGAACAAACTTGAATGTACACTACCTGAGGATGCTTCCATATCAATATGACTGATCATGGCTTTGTTGTTCTTATGAATGAAGAAGATTTTTAAAGATATTTCCTGTATATGATCTTTTGTTAAACTTTGATCTCTCATTATGGCCCCACCCTACTGCTGGAGGATGCCTTGAACAAGCTTGAATCTACAATATTTGGGGATGATTCCATATCAATATGACTAATTGTGGCTTTGTTGTTCTTGAGAAGAAGATTTTTAAAGAATTTCCCTATATATTCCTATGTAAAAATTTGATCCCGCCATTGTAGCCCCACCCTACCCCCAGGGGTCATGATTTGAACAAACTTGAATCTACACAACCTGAGAATGATTCCATATCAATATGACTAATTGTGACTCTGTGGTTCTTGAGAAGAAGATTTTTTTCTATATATTCCTATATAAAACTCTGATCCCTCATTGTGGCCCCACCCTACCCCCAGGGGTAATGATTTGAACAAATTTGAATCTACACTACCTGAGGATGATTCCATATCAATATGACTAATTGTGGCTTTGTTGTTCTTGAGAAGAAGATTTTTAAAGAATTTTCCTATATATTCCTATGTAAAAGTTTGATCCCCCATTGTAGCCCCATCCTACCCCTGGGGGTCATGATTTGAACAAATTTGAATCTACACTACCTGAGGATGATTCCATATCAATATGACTAATTGTGGCTTTGTTGTTCTTGAGAAGAAGATTTTTAAAGATTTTCCCTATACATTCCTATGTAAAACTTTGATCCCCCATTGTGGCCCCAACCTACCCCTGGGGGTCATGATCTGAACAAACTTGAATCTACACTACCTGAGGATGATTCCATATCAATATGACTAATTCTGGCTTTGTTGTTCTTGAGAAGAAGATTTTTAAAGATTTTCCCTATATATTCCTATGTAAAACTTTGATCCCCCATTGTAGCCCCACCCTACCCCCGGGGGTCATGATTTGAACAAATTTGAATCTACACTACCTGAGGATGATTCCATATCAATATGACTAATTGTGGCTTTGTTGTTCTTGAGAAGAAGATTTTTAAAGATTTTCCCTATATATTCCTATGTAAAACTTTGATCCCCCATTGTGGCCCCAACCTACCCCCGGGGGTCATGATTTGAACAAACTTGAATCTACACTACCTGAGGATGATTCCTTATCAATATGACTAATTGTGGCTTTGTTGTTCTTGAGAAGAAGATTTTTAAAGATTTTCCCTATATATTCCTATGTAAAACTTTGATCCCCCATTGTAGCCCCACCCTACCCCCGGGGGTCATGATTTGAACAAACTTGAATCTACAATATGTAATGAAGGTTTCACATAAGTATAAACTTTTCTGGCTCAATGGTTCTTGAGAAGAAGATTTTTAAAAGATGACACCAAATTTTCACCAATTCTTAATTATCTCCCCTTGGAAGAGGGCGTGGCCCTTCATTTGAACAAACTTGAACCCCCTTCACCCAAGGATGCTTTGTGGGAAGTTTGGTTGAAATTGGCCCAGTGGTTCTGTAGAAGAAGTCGAAAATGTGAAAAGTTTACAGACGGACGGACAGACGGACAGACGGACAGACAGACAGACAGACAGACGGACTACAGACAAAATGTGATCAGAAAAGCTCACTTGAGCTTTCAGCTCAGGTGAGCTAAAAATATTATACGCGTATAGATAAATGTAATCCTATCTCATAGTTGTCAAAATTCTCCATTCTTGCTCAACATGTCTAATTTGAAATATGTTTCCCCCTTTCTCCTAGTTTGGTTAAAGATAGATCATTAACATTTTTCATCTGTTTACATGTATAATGGTGAAGAGTGCAAGTTAGCTTTCAGTTCTTGGTCAACTGAACAGAAGATGTAGGATGGAAAAACAAGATTTTTTTGTCAAAAGTTTAGACCTGAATAAAAAAAAAATTATCCATACTTAAAAACTTTTATTTAGAGA